TAGTAGTAGTAGTAGTAGTAGTAGTAGTAGTAGTAGTAGTAGTAGTAGTAGTAGTAGTAGTAGTAGTAGTAGTAGTAGTAGTAGTAGTAGTAGTAGTAGTAGTAGTAGTAGTAGTAGTAGTAGTAGTAGTAGTAGTAGTAGTAGTAGTACTAATAATAATAATAATAATAATAATAATAATAATAATAATAAAGAAAAAGAAGGAGAAGAAGAAGAAGAAGATGAGAACTTTGAGATGGAATATTAATGTAACGATTAAACAATGATAATAACAAATGTCAAGGTTAGAGGTTCCACTAATGGTATATCAAACAAGTATAGTATAAACTCTTATTATTGAATTGGAAACCACACACAAAGGAGGTTCCAATCAGATTATATATTGTTAACATGATTACATTAGTCATCTTATTCAATTAATGCTAATACTTGTAAATCTCGTCAAGCATTCATGATTATAACTTATGTTAACAATAAATCAAGTTCCTTTCATAGCTCAGGTGTCGGTTATACCATACATTATGGGCTATGAAAGTGCCAAGCATTTGTTGTACCAAGTGTTATACAACATAAATCAAGATTAGTCATTTAACAAGCAAAGTATTAAAGAGTGAACAAGATAACAAATATAAAACATGTTAGTATCAAACATTAAAGTCCATATTAAGTTTACATTATACTTATTCTTACACCATTAGTGTAACCTTTTCACCTTGACATAATTAACTTAGCTAGACATAATGAAAGAAAGCAAAATAGATAAACAAAATAAGAACATAAAAGTTAACTAAGTAAAGGAAAGGAAATGAAAGGCATAAACTTAATATTAATGAAAACAAAGCATAAAAAATACAAAGAGAGAAAGGAAGAGCATGATCTTGATCTGAACACCAAGATGCCTAAATGCATGGCAAATGCCTCCTTTTATAGGCCAAAATTGGGAACTATTGATTTGATGACTAATTGATAAGTGGGTGACCAACTTTTGACTTGGTGACAATCCTTATCTTCTTTTGTCTGCCCAAAACGTCATTGATAACGTCAAAACTGGAGCCAGTTGCAAACATGAAAGTTGTAGGCAATTGTCTCAGCTTTCTTGTGTAAAAACTTCAGCTCATTTGGACTTCTAGAACTCCAGATATGGCCAAAATACCGAACAGTGCTCGGGCTGGAAGACAGATTCGGGCTTCTTTGTTGTTGCTACAATTTGGAGTTGATAATGGCCTTTTTAGATCTTGGGCTCCATATGAAAGTTGTAGGCCTATGTCTTACCTTTCCATCCATATAAATTGGATCTAAATCTGAGATCTGTAGCTCCAGATATGACCCAATTACTGAACAGTGTTCCGGTTTGGATTGCATCGACATCTCTTTTCTAAGTTTGGTTATCTCTTTGTCCTTTCAATTTCAGTTCTTAAATTCATCAATCAATTCTTTCATTTATGTGATAGGCCTGCATTTAAAATGAATATTTACCACAAATTAAAGGTATCTTGTATTATTAGATATATTATTATAAAACATGCTTTAGTTAAGGAGTTATTGATACTTCAAGTGCAAAATGATGATATAAAACCCTGATAAAAATGCACTTTTAAGTACTAATCAATATATATAAACAAAAACGCCCCATTTTGCTTTAAAAACCTAATAGTAACAACCTAAAGGGAGGAGAAGGCTTTGTTAATCCTTTTCTTGCTAAAATAGAGAGATTTTTTTGAATTTTGAGAGACTTGGATGATGTTTAACTAGTTTCTTAAGAGAAGAACATTTAATTAAGAGGAGTTTTTAGGCATAAAAACAAAGAAAAAGGAAGAAATTTAGTAAGGAAGAAATTTGAGAGACTTGGATGATGTTTAACTAGTTTCTTTGAATATGGGTTTTAGAGAAAGAAACGAAGAAATTTGAAGAAATATAGATGGAAACTTCTTAAAATTCATCATAAAATCTTGGGTAAGTGTTTTTACCCTTGATTTCTTTGTATTGGTTTAGGTAATTGAAATGAATTCTTAAATTGAATGATATGGCTTAACATTTATGAGATTGAAAATGGATAATTATTGTCTTAGATATGGATGTTTATGTTTGTAAATGTGTTTTAAAGAAAAACTTCCAAAAGGATAAATCCCTTGTGTGGCCAAACTTACATATTAAAGAGGGAGAGGTTGTTTGGGTTTGTTGAACCAAAATGACGTTAAATATAATGTTTGAATATTATAAAATAGATGTAAGTAGAGTTTTGATCAAAACTTTAAAGAAAATTCAAGGGTAGAAAAACCTTATTTTGGATGAGACTTTGATTTGTAAGAAAAGGAAGAAATAATTTGAAATTTTTTTGTTTGAGTTGTGTAGAATAGATGAATGGATGTTAAAAAGGTGTATTTTAAATAAGGTTTAGTTTAGAACCTTGAAGAATTTATAAGCTGAAAACTTTTAGAAAGTTTTAGGATTTGGAAAATAGGTTGAATGTGACCAAATGAGGTTATGGAAGTTTAAGAAATTTGAATGAGTTTTAGTGTGCATTACTACAAGTGTAAAGTTTAAAATATATAAATGCTTTAGTTGTGCGCTTTAACATAAAGGTTAAATTAAAGTTTGTACCTCATTGAAATACATAAATGAATATAAATATGTTATGGGAAGTTGAAAGGATGCCTATAAATTTTTGATGTGTAAAAGTTACCATACTATTGAGTATGGTATTGCTTGAGATGTGTGTATGTTGATGGAACATATTCTGAATATACTTCAATGAATTTATAATAGATAGACACATCTGAATGTAAGGCTTATAGACATAATATGTTATGTATGTATATACCTATATGTATGAATGTGGGTACGTATTTGATAATGGAGATTATAGTTAAAAAGAATTGATAAGATTGTTATGTGATCTAGCAAGGATAACAAGAATAGTTCGTCATGTTAGGAGAGCAAGATCGTTATGAGAGACATATAGGTGCTCGACATCTGACACTAGTTTTAAATTCAATGATTTTCATTACTATAATTCTTTGTTTTAAACCAATGGTTCTGAGATAAATTAAAATGAAAAAAAAAGAAAAAAAAGAAAAAAAATAAAGGATTAATGGAATAATTGGCATCAATGTTTGATGGCCAGGAATATTTGGCATCATTGTTTGATGGGTGGGAATATTTGGCGTCATTGTTTTAATGGCCAAGATGAATTACTTAGCTTACAATGCAATAGAGACTAATGATATTATATTACACTGATATCGAGATGAAATAATCAGCCACTTAAGTGAGAGCTATTGTTATCGAGATAAAATAACCCCACTATGGCGGACAGTGGAGACTATCATTAGTAAAAATTAAAACTTTGACAGGAAATGCATGGTTTTGGAAAACAAAGTAAAATATTTAAAACTAGAACATCCAAGAAAAAAGAATGTGATTGATATTGTAATAAAAAAGAAAGGAAGTTGGATGGGATAAAGGTTAATGTATATCATGAACAAAGTAAAAATTTAGTTGAAACCTAATAAATGAAAGTAATTAAACTAGCAAACTGAGAGTAGCTAGTTATGGTTGTTTTTGCAGCATAATATGTGGGAGTTATAGAGGTTTTGATAGCATATTTGGGGTATGTTTAAGGGTTGTTTTAATAATGCATTGTGGTGAGTTTGAGGTCTATTTTGACAACGTATTATAGTGGACTTTAGCACTATCTTGATTAGCAATTGTATGTAAATAAAGCTATTTTTATAGTAAGTTTGGTGGTGATGTGTAACATCCCATACCATTTTTTTCTATAATTCAATGCATTTCATGTTCAATTCTTGATAGGATTTTTGTTTTAAAAAAATGGAAATCTACTAAAAATTTGGCAAGTCTCTCCTATTTCATTTACAATCCCTAGTGTACATCAAGCAATTTACACACAATCCAACACAATCATCAATGTCCATTCATATTAACCCACTCCTCATTTTACTACACATCATAATTGGAAATATTGATAGGGTATTCATGCATATGACATATATTTAAAATTAATATACAAAAAATCAATTCCAAAGGATAAATAAAACATAGTTTCTTTTAACTTGCTTAAATTAAACACTTGAATCTAAAATACAACTCAAAGCTAAAAGTGTGTTAATATAATTAAGTTAATCAACATTCATTACTTAATCATCTAAAATTTATTACCTTGAAGGGGCATTAATTAAAAATTATAACATATGTTTAATGTACTACTATCCTAATACAAAATGAGATATATATCTAAAATATTTCCTGCAATTAGACTATATAAGGCTCCCATTCAACTTAGTCCTGTGGCATGAGATGGGTTAGCATGATATATAATATTAAACTCCTAAGTTAATTATAGGATTTTTTTTATAGCTAATGTAAATCAAGATATTATAAAATTAACATTACCTTCCAACAAAACATAGATCAAATTCTTATATGACTTTTGTTTACACACAACACACCATCATAACATTGCTTTAGATGCATTTCGTGACTACCCACATATTATAACATAATCTTTAAATTTGTTCAATTTCTCTTAAGCTTCCCTTAACTTGTCTATCAACGTACTCTTTATAGAAATTGGACTCAAATTTTTATCCTTTAAAAGGATATTCATTCATGTTAATGGAACTCCAAGGCTTCCATTTAGGAAGGGGCACGCTCTACAATAGTTCTTATCTTACGATGAAAACAATAACATAATAGTTTTCATTCATTTGGAAACAACAACATAATGATCTTTATAAAAATAAAAACAACCACAATAGTTTTCATTTATTAGATAGAAAACCATAAAATAATCTTCATTACATACTACATACCAAAACATATAATAGTACATTTACATTGCTCTTTGTTTTTCATTGTTTAACAATTTTTTTATGTATACTCAAGTTTATGCTACTAATGCTCCACTAAATTTACTTTATTTGGAGTATCATATTTTTTTTGTTTTATCAAATTCATTCATCAATACTATTTATTGAAATATTTTCTCTCTAAAATTTTCTACTCGGCTGAAACCTTGCACTCCTCCATCTAGGTACTTTTTTGAAAATATTTCATTCATTTATGTTAGTATGACATATATTGTCATAACTCAATTCTGGGTTATTTTTTAAAAATTATTTTCTTTTTTAAAATAAAAAATAATAATAAAGGCTGGCAACGTAGAGAAAGCAAATTGGGGAATCAAGCTGCAATTTTAGAGAAAATTTAAGGCCTAATTATACCCTATTATGCCCAAAAATGAAGAAAAAATGCAAATCCAAGGTCAAATTAAATGATTATTGGATGAATTTGCATACAAATTAAGTCCAAGGATATAATTAAATTTTTAATATACCAATTTGATTTAATCGTTGGCCAAATTAAATTTTAATTATATTTAATAATTAATTTTGGTCCAATTAAAGGATTTAATTAAGTGCAAGGACTTAATTATACTTTAAATAGGTCAAATTAAGTTTGGGAGCCTAATTTGGGCTTAATTGAGAAGATTGAAATTTTAAGGGATCAAATTTAATTTTTACCAAGTTAATTAATTGAAATCAGGGGCAAAATCATAAGAAAATTAAAATTTTAGGGTCATTTATGGGTGCAATTAAATCAAATTTAAAAAGGAAGGACTAAAATTAACTTTGGCAAAAAACAGAACTCAGTACTGTTTAGTATCTTTTTTTTTTTTCCTGAAAAAGTTGGTCTAGTTATCTACTTTGTAGCTGCATTTAATGTATCTAATGTCCACCAAATTCAACAAATCTTGCACTCAAATGATCCTCTGCACTTTCTCTGCAACCTCATGTGACCCGTTTAGGCTAAATGACAACAAATCAGCGCTGGTGACAGCTTAAAATGGCCTATTCAGTCAATCTTTGTCTGCAGATTTGATAACTTAGGATACCTAATTTAAACCAACAGTTTGAATCTTTTCCAACTGAATCAAGGGCTGAAATGTTTTCCCGGTATAAACAAGATTTCTCTTTTTCACTGCCTATAAATAGAGGTGGATTTCATAGCTTGAGAGAGGATAAAATCAGGTCCAAAATAAGCAAAAAAATCAACTTTTTCCAGTTTCTACACATTTCTTCTCTCTTTCTCTCTCCACCGTGGCCTTCAACCACCACCATCAGCTTCACCACAAGAAGCCAACACAACCACCAACCGGCCACCAAACAGCCACTACAACTCTTTCCCTCTTCCCCTTCTAGTGTTTCTCTCTCCCCTGAAACCTTTTCTTCTTCCTCCCATAGCCAATGTTGGCCTCCACCACTACAACCACCGGCAGCATACCGTCATCGTCAGTCAAACCACCGCCACAATAAGTTGTCTGCCCTCTCTCCCCTTCCCCTTCTTCTTCTTCTTCGTTGCCTTTATTCACTGAGTGAACAGAGGATGTGAATTATAATTCACGTCCACTTTCATGCAGTGGACTATACCTTTTTTAAAAAAATCCAAACATTTTCAAAAAATTTATGATTTTCTCGCATATTTTTCTACCAATTTTGCATAATATTGGGTTGTATATTTACACTGTAAAATACAAATCCAATATTAAAATACCAGTTTTCTCCAAAATAATTCAAAAAAATAATTTCAAAACATTTGCAAAAAATAAAAAAAAATATTTTGTTGCATATGGCTAGATTCTAAACAAGCATATTGTTCATAAAAAAAAATGCATCTTTTTCATGTTTAAAAAAAATCCAAAACTAGATATCGTAACTAATTTATAATTATTCATTAGGATTTGACAACATATCAAAAATCTTTTTTCAATTGTTTTTAGGGTCTAGATGTAGACTTTAATATTTATGAGGTGTAAAATTACACGATAAAGTACACCCTCAAGTATTAAAGATACAAGGAGTAAATAAATTCAGATTTTAGAATGGTTAGGATTTAACCAAAAAAGGTAGAGACTTTTTTATTAAGAGAGATCTAGCTTGAACCTTAGGAAAGACTAACGAATAAAAACTGACTTAGTAAAAAAAATCAAACAACAATGCAGCTTACCTTAGGTAGGATACATGTGTCTTCCCCTTGCATAACTAGTCCCTTACCAGGAGTCTCGCAGACCATAGGTTCCTAGTTACCATAATACTAGGTAGCGACTCCAAAACATTAACCATAATTTTATGATTAAATCCAGAAAACCTTCCCAACACACCACACCTCATACGGAAGGCACGAAAAAAGCCTTTGCCATCATAAGACAACGTCACATCGCATTGCTCATACCGCGCGACATCTATCATAATACCTCATTTATTATATCATTTTCAACTCTTTTATATTCAATATTATCTAGGTAAACTTAACTCACCCTGTTATATCCATTTTTCCCTGGCTACATGCATGTATACAATTTAAGACATCATGAAAGGCCTTTTCTTCCCACAATTCAATGGTTGGCTGAATTATAGGCCTTAGTATTCATGTCAACATTTTTCAAACAAGTATACACAAATCTACATCTTCAAGTTATTTTGAAGCTTTTCTATTCATTATTTAACTTCATTATGTATAATTAAATTTATACTACTCAAATGATGACTTCTAGGATTAAAAACCATATTTATAAATAATAGCCTAAATTATAAATAAGTACTCTAGTTTTACTTTTTTCTTAACATGATCGAAATGAAACCCCCATTTTCAATAAATCTTCTTCTCCTTCCCACATTATTTTATTTGTCAAACATGCTACTCAATCATAAACACCCAATAATTTTCTTATATGAATCCTCGTAACAGGTGTTTTATAATACTAAGTAACTCTATTAAATTTAAAACTTTTAAATGTACAAAATTGAATTCTAATCATCATATTTCAAGAAAATATAGTGAATATATTGTGAAAAATATAAAGTTACACACTTGGAAGTCCTCCCCTCTTAATTTTCTTTATTTTTGACTGAATCATCATCTTCCATTGCTAGATATTTTCTCTAAACTCTTTTCTTAATTTAACATATTTTTCAAGCTCACATATCATAGACTAACATATTCTATGTTAAAAATAGTCATGTATTTAAGCACATTATGATTAAAAAAATTCAAATAAAAAATATGTTTTACTTGTCCATTTCATCAAAAACTCACCATAACCATGTTTAGTAGTTTCAATATTTAACATGTATGCTCAAAAATCACATTTAGAAAATCTTCCCCTAGAACTTCCTCACTTGGTTGAAACATAATGGCCCCTAGACACCCACTTTTCTTTCATCATTTCTTTATAATCTTCTAATGTTTCTAAGTTATTCCTTTTATAGTTCATTTTTTTGTTTTATTCTTTAATTTCCCCAATATTGTTCAAGAACCGTAGATTAAGAATTTGGGGTTTTATATCAATACTTACCAAGAATGTCTTCAAACTAACTTGAGTAAGTCTAAAATCCTATTTTTTTTTATTTTCAACTCCAATTTCTTCCTTCCTCACTTTCTACCTTTTCTGTCACCCACTATTTTTTTTAACCATATTTTTTTGTCAGGGTTTATGTGATGGCTGTTTTTTTTTTTTAGACAACACGCACTGTGTGCAAATAAGGGTTGTTTTGACAGTGTATGCAATAAATAAACCTTTAGGAGTATGATTCAAGGGAATAAACCTCATGGTGACTTCTTATAAAGTATGTTGTTTTTGGATATGAAGTTGACTTTTAATGTTGTATTTGAATGAATATATAACATGTAAGTTAATAGTAGTTCATCTATGATCACAAGATGATGGTGACAACGTAGTATCAAATTTTAAAGAAACGAGAGTTTTGTTAAGGCTTGAAATCTAAGTTTAAGGCTGACATATGTGTTTGATACCATGAGAAATGTATGAAATATTGTAATTTTAACTATTTGGTATCATTTTTAAGTCTTAGGATAGTAATTTCTATTGATTTTTTAAATAAAGAATTATTTATCCATCTCATATTGTCGTAGGGACTTCTAATGCATTTATTTAGACTAATTGATTGGATCTGCTATTAGGCTAATCTTATATATGAAGGATAGGTTAATTGATTTTAATGGGATTGTAATTTCAAAACCCTTTGACTAAGTGTAATGTACTTCTTAAATAAATATGATAATGTATATTGTTTATTAGGTTTTATGGATCATAACATGTGTATTACTAATGGAATAAACTATGGCAAGGTCTGAGGCCTTAATGCGTAGACATTAATGTTTAATTGAATAGGAATCCATTTGATTGGAGATTATAGAAGTGTTTTCAAGTGAAAATAAACTACTATAAAGGTAAGCGAACAGAGAAAAGTGTATCAAAATTTTATTAGGATTTAAATATAAAAAATATAACAGGACGAAGTTAATATTATATTAATAGTGTTAAAAAGATTGGTAATGGAAGTCAATGGTTAAAAAAATTACATTGTTTTTCATTGAGTTTAAGGCTCAAAGTATCCTGCGATGTTGTTAAATTTCAGGATGTTACATCAAAAAGCACCTACCAATCACCAATCTCTCCACTAATAGCATATGGTGGCATCATAACCAATGGTGGCACTAAACTATCCACTAATAATATAATGACTAACAACTCATTTTTCTCCACTCACCACGATGTACATGTCCTTTCTCCAATTTCCACGAGGTAAGTAAATTAAGGTGGATACAATAAAAATAGCACCAAACAAAATAGCAAAGCAGACCACAAAAATAAAAATATAGCCACTTTCACTACTCTTACTCTGGGTCATTACAACACCTGCTAGTCATTACTGCCTACTGGTCACTATCACTTCATGGTTAACCCAGGTCATTACAACCTCTTAAATCAACACCTACTAGTCATTAATGTCTACTGGTCACTATCACTTCATGGTTAACACCTTTTAAGTCACCACCCTCCTAAGCATTGCCACCACCTTTTAGACACCACCTTCCCATACCCTGACCCTTTCATGTCTTAACTATTTGCCTTGACAAGATATTCTCCTTTTATATTTACAAACTTAAATATTGGAGGATCTTCTATAATAATAGATGACTTGTTTTTGTAAGTGAACATGAGAGTAACATCATCAACCTATTAAACCAACAGTTAAGCCTAATTACTCCAAGTAGTGATTAAATATACCATCACACTAGCTCATCAACCAAGCCACTCCATAAACTCAAGGAGCAATTATGGTAGAACATATCTAATATAACAATGTCTTCACAACTTCATCACAAACATAAATTATTTATTTATTTATTTTATAATAAAAAAATTCTAAAAAACAAATGATCTGAAGTAATCGTAGCTGTCATCAAAGAAAAATATAGTATTATTATTATTATTGAGCCACTAGTTATTAATTATAACTAAAAAAGGATAAGTGTTTTACTGTAGTGGGAGTTACTGTGGACTGTGAATGCTTTCATTATGGATTGCACTATTTGACACTATAGTGGGAGTTAATGTATACTGTGAGTGCTTTCACTATGAACTGCATTGTTTGAGTTTGCTCTTTGCTAAAAGTATTATGGGTTAGGAAGGCGTAATGAGAGGGTTGTCATTGCCATAAAGAGTTGCAAAGATTGCAGGGGGTGGGGTTGTCATTGTAGGTGGGGGAAAAATGGTTAGTTTGGATCTTAATAAGGTTGCATGACCTAGAAAGTAGACATCTGGTGCTCAACTTCAAACCAGGATGCTAAGGCCAGACCCGCGTGCCTGACAGTAACCCAGGAAATGAACACCCAGTACTAGGGCCAAACAAATTTTAGGGGGGTTGCTCTACTGTGTTTTGGGTCAACAATTGTGAGTAGAGACATTACATCCTCTATTAAAAGCTATTGGGTCTGGCTTGGTAGTTGGACCCACTGTTTAAGTTTGCTCTTTGCTAAAAGCACTATGGGTTAGGAAGGCGTAATGAGAGGGTTGTCATTGCCATAGAGAGTTACAAAGATTGCAGGGAGTAGGGTTGTCATTTTAGGTGGGGAAAAAATGATCAGTTCAGATCTTAAAGAGGTTGCATGACCTATAAAGTAGACATCTGGTGCTCAACTTCAAGCTAGGATGCTAAGGCTAGACCCGCATGCCTGACAGTAACCCAGGAAAAGAACACCTAGCACTAGGGCCAAACAAATTTTAGGGGGGCTGCTCTACTGTGTTTTGGGTCAACAATTGTAACTGGGGACATTACATTCTCTACTAAAAGCTATTAGATCTGGTTTGATAGCTGGATCCAATGTTGCTAGGTTTGGCTGCTAAACCAAACCCAAAACACTTTAAAAAAAAGTTGAGTCTGGTTGCTCAGTCAAACCCAACAATCTTAGGTTTGGTTATGCAACTATATCCAATGATATTATTATTTATATTATAATATTATAAATATTATTTTTTATTATAATTAACCAATGATATTATTATTTATATTATAAATATATAAAATTTTATTATTAGTATTATAAATATTATTTTTTATTATAATCCAAACTCACTGATCTTGGGTCTAACTAAGTAACTTGGTCTAACTAAGTAACTGGACTCAACATCATTAGATTTAGTTGTACAGCACAAATGAGTTAGCTCTAGTTGCTCAGCAAAACTCACTGATCTTGGATCTAACTAAGTAACTGGACTCAATATCATTAGATTTAGTTGTACAACCATACCTAAGAATATTATTATTTAGATTATAAATATTTTAATAATATTAAAAATATTATTATTTATATTAGAAATATTATTTTTTATTATAATTAAAAGTATTAATATAAAATATAGTATTTTTTGTGTTATAATATTATAAGAAATTAGGTCAAACGAATTTAATAATATTATTAACATTATAAATATTATTATACTTATTAATATTATTAAATTTATAAAAAATATTTTTATTATATAAAAAAATATAAGCAATTATTATTATTATTATTAATTTGAGTCAATATTTTCTTTCAGATGCAAAAAACTTATAACCTGAAAGAAAAAGAAAAAACTTTAATAAACTGAGATATGGACCTCACCTATAAATGTAAGTGCGACGAAAGTGCTGACCCAAATTTATTGAATCTCACTATTGCCCCTTTGTCATGATGAATCTCGTTTTAGCTTCTTTTTTAAAAAATCAAAAGTAAACCCAATCCAATGACGTGAGGTATGTTTCCTAGAATCCTATGATCCTATCTCCTTTCCTGTGAAGGCATTAACTATTATGATCTTTCAGGGATTTGTCGGGTGTCTATCAAGGTGAAAGATGTTTGGGTGAAATGTTTTGATTCAAAACATTTAATGTAATAATTATAGGGTGTTTGTATAAATTATTTCCATTCAATGATTGTCTATGAAAATAAAAATAAAAATATTTACAGGTTAAATTTCAAATTAAAAAGTGAGATTAAAATGTCATGCATTCACAAGGAATTCAAAACTTGACTGTTTGTCTCTCTCTGCTACAGGTATCTGAATTTGCTCAGCTATCACAACAGCATAATTCTTCAATTCAGTTCAAAATCTGACCTTGGTGCAGAGACAAGCCACAATATAACAAGGACTTCCAAATGTGTTGCCGAAGACACATGAGATGTTTTTTTGAACAATGGCCGCCTGGTTAAGGGTTACTGGCTAGAATGTGAACCTCCCACATGTTTCGTGGATATCATGCTAATGCAGTGTCTGATCTAAAATAATCGTCTTATAAGGTGTTTTTTGAATTTCTTCTTGCAAATGGAGGCTCTTAGGCAGTGAAATTAACATGCTAATGCAGTGTCTGATCTAAAATAATCAAGAAGAGGCAGAAATGACATGAATCGAGTAACTTAAAATTCCAAACGACAACAGTTCTTTACAAACATAACATATGACAAGCAAATTCTGTATTAAGGAATACCCAAGTGAAAAACTGAAAATAACATCTATCTATCTACAGCTATCGGGGCTTAAGAAACAAACCCAGAACGTCTTAGTGTGGTTGCTTTTAAACTTGTGTTTACTTTGTGCAATAACCTAAATAAAATGCTTGATGCTATTAAGGTGTAGCATAAAATAGAGCAACTGGCTCCAACTTAATAGAACTTACAGCTCTAGTCCAATGCTTAAGAGCTGCCCTCATTTAACGACCATCAGCAGATGTGAAGGACTCAGCAAACCCAGCTGGTCTTGCTGGAATACTGCTCTTGCTGTCATTAAGACTGGTATAACTTAGCCCAGTGCTTTCTCCATCCTGCCAAACTTTTAACATCTCTGGAAGTGGAAGGCTGTAGTCGATGCCAGAAAAGTCCTCGGATTCATTGGTAATTGGTTTCCATTTCTCAACAAGTGGTGCCAACACATTCACTACATGACCCATATCAGGCCGGCGGTTTGGTTCCCTCAAAGTGCAATGCCCAGCCAATTCAGCTATGGTGTGGATGCTCTCAAAAATCTCTTCACTGGCATTAAGAGTAGGGTCAACGGCAGCCATAAGCTTCTCTTTGCTTGATTTGATTTTCCAAAACCACTCAGCCAAGTATCGGCTTTCCTCAGAACGCTCCTCATCAAGGGCTGTTAACCCGGTCAAAAGTTCCATTAACACCACTCCATAGCTGAACACATCAGCTTTGGTTGTTATCTTCCCCATAACTGTGAGAATAAAGAAGTAAGAGCAGCAGTCAATTCAGCCTTCTAATTGTTGGTGTTATCTTGGAAATTAAATCCAAAAAAACCACCAATCACCACAAATGTTATATATCAATGATCTGCAAATTTCTCAAGCAATTCTACAGTGTGGACTAAAGGAAGGTATACAGAGGTCACACGCAGTTGCCATTGTTACTTTTAGCCGTAAAAAATAACTACTTGATAAATCCATATATTAATGTGATTCCACGAGGATTCTTTTTGATGATTTAAGATACATATCAAAAGATATCAATCACAATAGGATAAATTCGAAATGACTGCATAACTATCGTATCTTCCAATAAATCATGAGAACAAGATTTTAAAGGGTAATACAAATAGAAATGTTTTACAAAGATCAGTCAACAGAATGTTTGGTGCACACAAAAGAAGGGAAACGTGTTTTATGAATATCATTAATGTGCACTACATGTTTCTGTTCTACATATCATTAACATCATTATCGCATTCTTATTGATAACAGGGTTGAACAAGCTCATTCCACTAAGAAGGATATCAATTACCAATGTGATGTATTGGAAAAAAGCTTGTCAGTAACTGCATCATAGCCAAACAGTTACAAGGGGACAAGAAGTAGTAGTTATGGGCATTTCACAGCAGATGTTTTAACCAAGACTTTATATTATTTGAACAAATGAGGCACAACTGGAAAACCATAAAAATCTTACTGAACCGAGCAATACTTCTTAGTTTCGGTTAAATTAGCTTCTTTATAATTCTAAATAATCCTTGTTCTATACCAATAATAAGAATTTGGAAAACACTTACCAGCATATTCAGGTGCAAGGTAGCCAAAGGTTCCAGCAAGTCTCGTCACAACAGACTTCTCTCCGTCTGGAGCAAGTTTCACCAACCCGAAATCAGAAACCTTAGCACGGAAATCATCACCTAGAAGAATGTTGGAAGATTTGAGATCTCGGTGAATAAATGTTTGTCGAGCCATACTGTGAAGATATTCCATCCCCCGGGCCACATCCAATGCAATACTTAACCTTCTTGTCCAAGATAGAGGCTCCAAGTTTAATTTCTTCCAATGGAAAAGATGCATGCTTAAAGCACCTTCTGACATATACTCGTAGACAAGAAGTCTTTCATTGCCTTCGATAGAATAACCAAGAAGAGAAACCAGATGCCGATGCCGGACTTTAGAAAGAACAGCAATCTCAGCCTGAAATTCATCCACAGCTTTACCACTCACCACTCCGGCCTCCATTCTCTTAACAGCTATTTTTGTCCCATCTTCCAATTCACCCTTGTAGACAGTTCCAAATCCACCAGAGCCAAGCTGATTTTTTTGGGCAAAATTATCTGTCACCTTGCGAAGAACTTGGACAGATATAATAACATTTCCAGCCTCAATTACACGGGAATTTTCAGTCAGACTACTTGTATTACTGACAGAACTAGTTCCAGTTTGAGTGGACAAGCTTCCAGTGATGTTGTTGGAAACTGCAATCTTGACAAAATTTTCTGAATCAGATGGATCTCTAGGGTGAACCACAATGGAACAAGGAGGATTTGAAGTTTCTTTTTTCTTCTTAAAGCGAGAATAAAGACACAAAGCAATCAACACAACAGCCAGCAATGAACCGGCTAAAATTCCACCCACGATTACTAGTTTGGTTCTTTCAAAATTTCTTCTAGTTTGGGCTGGAACTTTTGTAGAAGTAGACCGATTAGCGTGTGAGCTTGAAGTTGGAGAAGGCGGACTAGAAGGCATAGTGAATGGTGAAGGCTGTCCACTGCCTGGTGGAGAATTCTCTGGTGGAGTGAAACTCACAGGAGGTAGGCTGCTAGCAGGGGAGGGGGATTGCTGACTCTGATTCCCACCAACCAAAAGAGGATTTCCATCAACAACAAGCTTCACGCTATTCCGAAACTTGGGCAAAGGAGGACCTAGATTGTTTTCACTGACATCGAACAATCTCAAAGACTTCAAGTTTGTCAAATTGCTGGGAATTGTGCCCTCTATATCGTTTCCTCCAAGTCCAATTTGAACCAGTGAATCTAATTTTGCAATTGAAGGATTAAGGGTGCCAGTAAGATTACGTCTAGGCAGATTTATAACAGAAACCTTTGAATTAGAATCACAATTCAATCCCAACCATGGCCCATGACATGGATCATTACCAGACCACTGAGGAGCAATATTTGAAGGATAATTCACTCCACTAAGAAAATCCAAAAGTGCATAAACTTCTGGGGCGCATTCAACTCCAGGTTTAGATTGACAAAGAGGATTGGAGTCATAAGAAACCTCACCAGCCTTGAACACCGGCACTGGACCCATTAGCTGATTATTGTTCAAGTCCAAATTCTCCAGCTGCATATCTGCCAAGCTCTGAGGAATATAACCGACAAGTTTGTTTCCGTTGAGATTAAGATCTCTCAACAAAGACAAATCTCCAATTTTCTCAGGTATTGTTCCAGAGAAAGAATTCCCATGAAGCCATAATTGTGACAATGATGTCATGTTTGCGATAACATCAATTGAACCACTCATGCCCCCTCCTTCTTGATTATTCAGAAGCAAAATTGACATCAAAGATTGCCCAAAACTTGCAGGAATTTCACCAGACAATCTGTTGTAAGAAAGTTCTAGATTACTAAGAGATGGCATGCTGCCTAGAAAATCAGGCAATGGACCAGCCAAATTGCATGAAGACACTGAAAAATTCGTCAGCTGAACAGAACTTGCCAATTCACTGGGCAGAGACCATCCTGTACTCTCATTCAAACGATTGCCATCCAAGGCCAAAACCGCTATGCTACTAAGTCCCTCAAAGAAATCAGATGGGATAGTGTCAAAATTATTGCCATTCAAGAAAGCATATACCAGTTCAGACAGTCCTTTAAAGGTGGGTAGTTTTCCATTGAAGTTGTTTCTTTGAAGCCCTATATTGTAAAGTTTTGAGAGCTGGTTGAAATTTTGAGGGAGGGGTCCTTTAAGACCCATATTTTGGACCTGAATTTGTGTGACTCTACCATCCGAACAGAAAACATGAGGCCATGAAGGAGGGCCACAAGGATCGTTACCCTTGGCTGGCCATTTGAGAAGCTCTGGATTTTCCAACCCATTCTGGAAATCTAACAAGATCTTAAGGTCATTGGGATCCGTAAAACTACAACACAAAGTAACGAAACCCAACAAAAAACATGCAATGTTGCAAAGCTTCATACTTTCACCTCCCATTATCAAATCAACATACTAAAAGAACGAAACTAAACCTCCCAATGTACCTGATAATCCCAAATAAAAACTAAGACTTTCACATGTCAATTACCACAAAAGGATGTAAACAACAAGATCCAGGTGCAAAAAATTAAGATCAGTTTCAGAAGTTTTTGAAGAGAACAGGAAATGGAAGTAGAAAAGGGATTAGATTTTGGAGAGTGAAGAAGACGAAGAAAAGGAAATCGTGCCCAAAACAGATCGAGATAAAGAGAAGTACGTTAGACTATCATCCACTCCTTGAGGGTTTTTTATGTTTAGCTAAAATCTTCGAACAGCCAGACCAAAAAAGTATAGAAGTACACCACCATGACTGACACTCTCCCCACCCCTTTCTTGATCTCCTATCCTCGCAAAAGCAGACGTAATAATAATTTGCTTTCCAATGCTGAATGGAATGGCAATATTACCCTCAAAAGGTAGCAGCTCAGAAGATAACGGTCAGTGCATGTAATCACAGGAACCATTGAAAAATATTGTCTTAACAATACCAACGTGAGAAAAAAAAATTCTTGTAAGACATTTTGCATTATAATTAAAAATTATATTTTTTTTTTTAATCTAGGCTAGGAGGCTTACGAAGAAAGGAAGCTCCATTGGTGCCGGTAAGTGGAAGCTTAAAAAATCTCTTGGGATTATTGAGGAGTGGGTCCAAATTTGGATGACTCAACTACTTGTACTACTTTGTGTTGTGTTGTGTCGTGTCGTGTCGTGTGCGTTCAATGTCGACAGCATTCACTTGCTTCTTTTTTTTGTTGTTTGTGATTGCTTATTTTAATAATTATGTTTTCTGAATATCAAATTTATATTGTCATTTTTGTAGGTATATAACAATTTCTTAACTA